AGACGGCCTGTTGCAGTGCGAGGTGCCACCAATGATGCTTCACGCCCATGTGCAGAAGCATCGTACGTACGTAGTTGGCGGCCACCCGAAACGGCCCGCAGAGGTCGATGTGCACCACATCGAGCGCGTTCTCGGCGTCCGATCCTTGGTCGGGGAAGGTGTGCCGTGCAAGCTTGCCGCCGACGCAGGAGGTACACGGCAGATCATCTGCAGTCGACTTCTTGATGTCCAGACCGGCAGCGACCTCATTCTTCGCCGAGCTCTTGATCGTGTCGACGCCGACGTGCGCAAGCCGCGCGTGCAACATGTCCGGGGTCAACTTTGTCGCTGGCGCGATCGTCCGCAGAGCCACAACCTCTGTTGAAGTCGTCGTAGACTTTGTCGAGCAGGGGCGCAGGTCGGTGCAGAGAATTCTCCCGGAGTAGCGTGCTCGACCAAGGACATCGCCGGTAGAAGACACCAGCAGCATCTCTCCGCCGTCGTCCTGCAACGTTTCGCCGTTCTCCTTGAGCTGGCCAGCAGACAGCAGGTTCGCGTGCACACCCAGAACGTAGAGTACGTCGGGGACGAGAACCTGCTTCCCGGCCTCTCCTTGCAGAACAACGGTGCCTCTACCTTCGACGCTCTGAAGTGCCCCGTTGAAGCCGCGGACGTGTCGAACGTCACCGCTCGGCTGCATGTCAACGAAGGCCTCCTTTGTCCCCATCAAATGGTGGGAGCAACCGCTGTCGAGCAGCACAATAGTCGGATTGGCCTGCACAGCAGTAGCGACCGCCTTGAAGTCTTCGCCAGCCTCTAGCGCCAGCGAGATCGTCGGCTCTACAACACCGACCATCGAGCACGAAGCCTCCTCGCCACGAGCATTGCCGCCAGAGGTGTCAGCATCCTTTGTCGAAGACGTCTTCGACGGCTGCTTCTCCTTGCGCGGCTTGTTGTCACGACGACGACGTCCACCATCAGACCTTCTGCGGTTGGCGTCCCGGTCGTCGTCAGACTCGTCTCGGTCGGGGCAGTCGTACGAGAGGTGGTCGGGAGCATCGCAGATGTAGGAACGGCGTCCTTCTCGACGCGAGCCACCGCCTCAGCGATCACCTCATTTCGCTGACTTTCTGCGGTCGGCACCCTCCGTCGATTTTGAGTTCGACGACTTCCAGCCACCGCCGCCGCCAGACTTCCCACGCTGCCCTTGTTGGCGTCCCTGCTTCGCCGGGGCGACGTAGTTGGCCTGCGGAAGCAGTTCTGCAGGTCGCTCTGACTCCTGCATGAACTCGTCCTGGATGATGTGGCTCGAAAGCGAATCCTCGTTCAGAGTCTCGCGCGTGCCGGGAATTGTCAACATCCGGCGCATTAGATTGTAGCCCGAGGGGAGGCCGCTGATGACATGGGTGACATACAACGCCACCGAGTAGTCGACGCCGGCCATCCGCAGATCGACCAAAACTCGCCGCGCTCGATTGCAGTACTCGGTCGCCGATTCCTGCTCCCCCATCCGAATGTTGGTGAACTTCTTCTCCAGTTGACTGATGTAGAGGTCGTCGGTCGCTTTGTAGGTGCGCATGATGTACTGCCACGCTTGGTAGCCAGCATCCACCCGTTGTCTGCACGATGTCAATGCGACCTGCACCAGAGGCGAGCAACGCCTCGAAATGACCATGAAGGTTAGTAGATGAGCAGCGCAAAATTCCGCCCAGAGTTCAGAGTCGTCTGTGTCCGGCGTGTCTACATTGCCGTCGACGAACTTCTTCAATCCGGCGATCTCCAGCTGAGGCTCAATGGATTTGATCCATGTGATCAAGTCGTGTCGACCTTCCAGCAGCTTCGGCACAGCGATTTTGTCCAGCGAGAATTTAAAATATCCGTACGCCGGCGCGATGCCTCCGTCTCGACCAGCCGACGCATGAGTCGCCGAAGTCGGCCCGACTCCACTCCGCAGAGGAGATTGACGTCGACCATCGATGTTGCCGTTCGAGCTGCCTCCAGTCGCAGAAGATCGCAGCACTTGCGCCTGCACTCCGCCAATGCTGACGTCGGCGGGCCGAATCACTCCGCGAACCCTCGTACTTCCACCGCCGACAACATTGCCGCCATCACCTTCGTTATGCACGGGTCGGGGAGAGGCGGACGCGTCGTCCGCTTCTGCACGGGGAGGGGGGTGCTCACGCGCCCACTGCGCACGAGTCCCAAGGAGCAGAATCTCCAAATCCGCCTCGCCGTACCCGCCAGCCTCGTGGCGTGCCCGAACACCAGCCTCTCTCGCCTGCAGGGTATCTTCTACACCTGCTTCGACCACGGGGTCGACCATGGCGACTAAGACGGCTGCCGTCCTACAACGACTTAGGTAATGAACGCAGAAGTCGGGTAATTTGAAGGTTCTAACGCGGGGCTGTCCACGCTCACCGCACCATGCGGAGAGTCACTACACAACGGGAGTGGACTACGGTGGAGGGCACGGGGTTGTGCGAGTGATCGTAGCTTTGCACTAGCGTTCGAAAGTTTGGCAAGAATTCCACTAAAGAAAATAACAACTTGAAATGAAAAGTTGAAAGTACAATTGCGGCATGCAGAATAGAATAGACTAGAATGGCATGCAGAACCTAGCAAGCACTCTGCAGGGCGAACTCTGCCAGCGCAGCAGAAGCGCGGCGTGCGAACGCTCGAGCAGAACGATCTGCCAGCGTCGCACCGCAGGTGGTCTGCCAGCGCTTCAGTCGCAAGTGACTATCTGCAGTCGCAGGTTGTCTATCTGCAGTCGCAGGTTGTCTATCTGCGCAGATGTGCGCACCTACCAAGTAGGTGCAGGTTGGCGGTTTCACCGTCAGGCACATTGCGCATGTGCCAGGTAGAAAACGTGTCGTCGGTTTCGCCAGGTGCCCACCGTCGACCACGTAATGCCGTTCCGCAGGTAGAACTTCGCCAAAACCTCCTGGGCGAAAGTTCGCACGCCTCTGCAGAGTTTCGCACAACTTTGCAAACTTGGTCGATCAGCTCGACATCGATCAGTCGTACAACGTTCGCCGAACAGAGCTCCTCGACCCGAACTCTTCGACCAGAGTTCCTCGACCAGGATCGTCGACCAGCGCTCTTCGACGGGAGCTCGTCGCGCAGAGATTGTCGACCAGAGCTCGTCGCGCAGAGCCTGCTCGACCGAAAACTTCCGTCGAACTGCAGAAGCCCATTTCGTCGACCAATCCGTCGCGAACTTCTCGTCGACGGCGAGATCGGCTGCGCCCAAGCGAGGGCGGGGCCTTTCTCTTCGACAGCACTCACTCAAGCACTTACCCTCTTACTCACCCACGCACTCACGCACGCACTTACCCTAGCACCCACCTTTGCAGTCAGTCACGTACTCACTCATTCAACCAATCACTCACTCACTCACTAAGTCAGCCACGCACTCACTTACGCATTCACTCTTGCACTCTCCTTCGCACTTACTCACTCACTCAGCCACCCACCCACTTACGCACCTAGCCATGCACTCACCCACACACCCACTCTCGCATATAGTCATGCACTCACTCTCGCACATAGCCACGCACTCACTCACACAATCAGCCAAGCATTTACACACGCACTCAACCTCATACTCAGCCACGCATACACCTCGCACTCATCCACGCACTCCCCCTCCCACTTACCCGCGTACTCACTCATGCACCCTCGCACTCACCTTCGCAGTCACTCATCACCCAGCCACGCACTCAGCAAAAAAACATGGTAACTTGGGAAGCGAAGGTGTGCTCGGTCCGAAAAGGGTCGTGGCTTTGAATACCAAGTATTACGAGTGCAATGGAGTGAGAAAACGAGAATTACATTATCGAAGCAAACAGTACAATGAGCGAAGGCATGAGCGAACTGTTAAATAGCGAAGGCATTTCTGCAGCGGTAACGCGCTCGTGAAAAGGTGCCTTACGGGCTTGATGTCGAGGTTGGGAAATGTCGAGGCGTATTACCAGGCCGCGGGTTCCCAGCCAGGGCCTCAGATATCAGCCAAAATCACTGATTTTCAGCGTAAAGCTGTTGGACAACACTGATTTTTCAGCCTTCTCCAAAACCAATCTGAGGGCCGGTTTGTCAAATAATGTTCACATGCATTGTTAGGTTTCTAGGCTACAGTGAGTTGCCCTCAGAGGGTACAACCCATCCTAGGTTAACTTGTGTATCCCCCTCGACTTTCCATCACATACAATTCTCTCGACTATTCTCTCCTAGGATATTTTAAGACTGTTCCCAGCCGAGTTGGGTGGTTTGGGCGCGAGAGTCGTGATGGCGGGATTAGTGTCGAGGCGAGCGTCGCGAGGTGGTAAAAGTCTATTGTTGGGCGTACAGTGGCGGGAACAGTCGTGTACGCGGTATGATGTGTGACGCGAAGTAAGGAAAAGGTTTCCTTGCAATATCACACAGCTTTCTTACATGTGATATGATATAGTATATTCTTCTGTTTTACACAGTTATGGTTTGTACATATGGTGCAAAAGCTGCAACCCTTCCGAGGTTAACGTCGAATCGTGTTTTTAACCAAAAAAACCTCTTGACATGAGTTGTACCGCGCCCTGAAACGAGCAAAGTTTGACGACCCGCCCTAATTAGGTATCTGTCCATGCTTCAGCATCGCTAGCATCCAACGTTCACTACCTATCCTACTGGCACATACCTTGGTTCCTATGGCCGTCACAAGCCGAATACAGTTTCCTACTCTCCAGAGATCGGTTGCCGCGCTCGCGATTCTATCCCCGCGATGGGCCGCATCCGAGATTGTTTCTCGGGACCGATTTTTTTCCGCATCGGCGTCGCCAGCTGCTGACCAATCACCAAGTTCGACGGCTGCCGTAGATCCGTCAGTAGAATCCGCGGCAGCAGCGGAGGAGGCGGGAGGCTGGCGAAGCCACGCGGAGGCGTGCAGTCGATCGCTCCGGCTGCACGTAGCGCCAGCGAAGAAGAACCTTCTGGGAGTTTTCCGAGAGTGCCAGACGGCGGAGGAGGCCGAAGCTTCCTTGCAGATGCTGGCGCGAACAAGGCTTGAGGTGCGCGGGAACGAGGCTTGAGGTGCGCGCGAACGAGGCTTGAGGTGCGCGCGAACGAGGCTTGAGGTGCGCGGGGACGAGGGGGAAAGAGGAGTGAGCGCTCGTGGAGCAACGAGGGGGAAAAGAGGTGACGTTTGAGTCGACTCAAAAATCACCTGCGCGGGAACGAGGGGACATACGACTGAGCGCTCGTGGAACAGCGAGGGGGGGAAGGAACGAGAGTGCAGGGATTGGTGGTTCAGGCTACTACTGAATCGACACAAATCTGGGTCGTGGAACAGCGAGGGGGGAAAGAGAGTGCAGGGATTGCTGGTTGAGGCGACTATGGAATCGACAGGGAACGTTGGTTCTGGCGAAGTGAGCCGCTCACTTCGTCATTAAAGGGAAGAAGGGAAGGGGGGAGGGGGGAGGAAGGTTGGAAAGGGTGGGACGATGTGGGAGAAGGGGAGATAAGAGAAGATAAGTGGACTCTGCACAAGCTGACGTGCACAAGCTGACGTGCACAAGCTGACACGTTCTTCATGGTTTCGTGTATTCCCGCCGTCCTTTGACCATCTGTCCGTTCCCTATGCCTACATATCCCTACCTATCGCTACACATTGTCACAGAACGCAGCGTATCGCAAGCAGACGGCGAACTTCAACGACGAGGTGTCACTGGGCGTCGTGAGAGCATGCATCCGAGCAGGCGTGCCGCAGAAAGGTGAGCTCAAGTTGACCTTTGAGTCGACTCAAAAGGCATCCGAGCAGGCGTGCCGCAGAAAGGTGGGTTCAAGTTACAGGCTTTCATTCCACAAGCTCCAAACACCGCAAGCTTCAAACCTAGGTGCTTCAAACCCACGAGCCTAAGTTTCACGAGCTTCGAACGCTACAACAAGCTTTACTTGCATGCTGAGCTTGCAGAATTTAAAGCCCGAGTTCCACATGGCAGTTTTCAAATTCAAGTTTGTTGAAACTGAGTTCGCAAACACACCATGTTACCACCTGGTTCACAACAATCCGCCAAGAACAAACCTAGTGTTGCTGCTCAAGAACAAACCTAGTGTTGCTGCCAAAGAACAAACCTAGTGTTGCTGCCAAAGAACAAACCTAGTGTTGCTGCCAAAGAACAAACCTAGTGTTGCTGCCAAAGAACAAACCTAGTGTTGCTGCCAAAGAACAAACCTAGTGTTGCTGCCAAAGAACAAACCTAGTGTTGCTGCCAAAGAACAAACCTAGTGTTGCTGCCAAAGAACAAACCTAGTGTTGCTGCCAAAGAACAAACCTAGTGTTGCTGCCAAAGAACAAACCTAGTGTTGCTGCCAAAGAACAAACCTAGTGTTGCTGCCAAAGAACAAACCTAGTGTTGCTGCCAAAGAACAAACCTAGTGTTGCTGCCAAAGAACAAACCTAGTGTTGCTGCCAAAGAACAAACCTAGTGTTGCTGCCAAAGAACAAACCTAGTGTTGCTGCCAAAGAACAAACCTAGTGTTGCTGCCAAAGAACAAACCTAGTGTTGCTGCCAAAGAACAAACCTAGTGTTGCTGCCAAAGAACAAACCTAGTGTTGCTGCCAAAGAACAAACCTAGTGTTGCTGCCAAAGAACAAACCTAGTGTTGCTGCCAAAGAACAAACCTAGTGTTGCTGCCAAAGAACAAACCTAGTGTTGCTGCCAAAGAACAAACCTAGTGTTGCTGCCAAAGAACAAACCTAGTGTTGCTGCCAAAGAACAAACCTAGTGTTGCTGCCAAAGAACAAACCTAGTGTTGCTGCCAAAGAACAAACCTAGTGTTGCTGCCAAAGAACAAACCTAGTGTTGCTGCCAAAGAACAAACCTGGTGTTGCTGCCAAAGAACAAACCTAGTGTTGCTGCCAAAGAAGAAACCTAGTGTTGCTGCCAAAGAACAAACCTAGTGTTGCTGCCAAAGAACAAACCTAGTGTTGCTGCCAAAGAACAAACCTAGTGTTGCTGCCAAAGAACAAACCTAGTGTTGCTGCCAAAGAACAAACCTAGTGTTGCTGCCAAAGAACAAACCTAGTGTTGCTGCCAAAGAACAAACCTAGTGTTGCTGCCAAAGAACAAACCTGGTGTTGCTGCCAAAGAACATACCTAGTGTTGCTGCCAAAGAACAAACCTAGTGTTGCTGCCAAAGAACAAACCTAGTGTTGCTGCCAAAGAACAAACCTGGTGTTGCTGCCAAAGAACAAACCTAGTGTTGCTGCCAAAGAACAAACCTAGTGTTGCTGCCAAAGAACAAACCTAGTGTTGCTGCCAAAGAACAAACCTGGTGTTGCTGCCAAAGAACAAACCTAGTGTTGCTGCCAAAGAACAAACCTAGTGTTGCTGCCAAAGAACAAACCTGGTGTTGCTGCCAAAGAACATACCTAGTGTTGCTGCCAAAGAACAAACCTAGTGTTGCTGCCAAAGAACAAACCTAGTGTTGCTGCCAAAGAACAAACCTGGTGTTGCTGCCAAAGAACAAACCTAGTGTTGCTGCCAAAGAACAAACCTAGTGTTGCTGCCAAAGAACATACCTAGTGTTGCTGCCAAAGAACAAACCTAGTGTTGCTGCCAAAGAACAAACCTAGTGTTGCTGCCAAAGAACAAACCTGGTGTGGCTGCCAAAGAACAAACCTAGTGTTGCTGCGGAAGAACAAACCTAGTGTTGCTGCCAAAGAACAAACCTAGTGTTGCTGCCAAAGAACAAACCTAGTGTTGCTGCGGAAGAACAAACCTAGTGTTGCTGCGGAAGAACAAACCTAGTGTTGCTGCGGAAGAACAAACCTAGTGTTGCTGCGGAAGAACAAACCTAGTGTTGCTGCGGAAGAACAAACCTAGTGTCGCTGCGGAAGAACAAACCTAGTGTTGCTGCGGAAGAACAAACCTAGTGTTGCTGCGGAAGAACAAACCTAGTGTTGCTGCGGAAGAACAAACCTAGTGTTGCTGCGGAAGAACAAACCTAGTGTTGCTGCGGAAGAACAAACCTAGTGTTGCTGCGGAAGAACAAACCTAGTGTTGCTGCGGAAGAACAAACCTAGTGTTGCTGCGGAAGAACAAACCTAGTGTTGCTGCGGAAGAACAAACCTAGTGTTGCTGCGGAAGAAGAAACCTAGTGTTGCTGCGGAAGAACAAACCTAGTGTTGCTGCGGAAGAACAAACCTAGTGTTGCTGCGGAAGAACAAACCTAGTGTTGCTGCCAAAGAACAAACCTAGTGTTGCTGCCAAAGAACAAACCTAGTGTTGCTGCCAAAGAACAAACCTAGTGTTGCTGCCAAAGAACAAACCTAGTGTTGCTGCCAAAGAACAAACCTAGTGTTGCTGCCAAAGAACAAACCTAGTGTTGCTGCCAAAGAACAAACCTAGTGTTGCTGCCAAAGAACAAACCTAGTGTTGCTGCCAAAGAACAAACCTAGTGTTGCTGCCAAAGAACAAACCTAGTGTTGCTGCCAAAGAACAAACCTAGTGTTGCTGCCAAAGAACAAACCTAGTGTTGCTGCCAAAGAACAAACCTGGTGTTGCTGCCAAAGAACATACCTAGTGTTGCTGCCAAAGAACAAACCTAGTGTTGCTGCCAAAGAACAAACCTAGTGTTGCTGCCAAAGAACAAACCTGGTGTTGCTGCCAAAGAACAAACCTAGTGTTGCTGCCAAAGAACAAACCTAGTGTTGCTGCCAAAGAACAAACCTAGTGTTGCTGCCAAAGAACAAACCTGGTGTTGCTGCCAAAGAACAAACCTAGTGTTGCTGCCAAAGAACAAACCTAGTGTTGCTGCCAAAGAACAAACCTGGTGTTGCTGCCAAAGAACATACCTAGTGTTGCTGCCAAAGAACAAACCTAGTGTTGCTGCCAAAGAACAAACCTAGTGTTGCTGCCAAAGAACAAACCTGGTGTTGCTGCCAAAGAACAAACCTAGTGTTGCTGCCAAAGAACAAACCTAGTGTTGCTGCCAAAGAACATACCTAGTGTTGCTGCCAAAGAACAAACCTAGTGTTGCTGCCAAAGAACAAACCTAGTGTTGCTGCCAAAGAACAAACCTGGTGTGGCTGCCAAAGAACAAACCTAGTGTTGCTGCCAAAGAACAAACCTAGTGTTGCTGCCAAAGAACAAACCTAGTGTTGCTGCCAAAGAACAAACCTAGTGTTGCTGCGGAAGAACAAACCTAGTGTTGCTGCCAAAGAACAAACCTAGTGTTGCTGCGGAAGAACAAACCTAGTGTTGCTGCGGAAGAACAAACCTAGTGTTGCTGCGGAAGAACAAACCTAGTGTTGCTGCGGAAGAACAAACCTAGTGTTGCTGCGGAAGAACAAACCTAGTGTTGCTGCGGAAGAACAAACCTAGTGTTGCTGCGGAAGAACAAACCTAGTGTTGCTGCGGAAGAACAAACCTAGTGTTGCTGCGGAAGAACAAACCTAGTGTTGCTGCGGAAGAACAAACCTAGTGTTGCTGCGGAAGAACAAACCTAGTGTTGCTGCGGAAGAACAAACCTAGTGTTGCTGCGGAAGAACAAACCTAGTGTTGCTGCGGAAGAACAAACCTAGTGTTGCTGCGGAAGAACAAACCTAGTGTTGCTGCGGAAGAACAAACCTAGTGTTGCTGCGGAAGAACAAACCTAGTGTTGCTGCGGAAGAACAAACCTAGTGTTGCTGCGGAAGAACAAACCTAGTGTCGCTGCGGAAGAACAAACCTAGTGTTGCTGCGGAAGAACAAACCTAGTGTTGCTGCGGAAGAACAAACCTAGTGTTGCTGCGGAAGAACAAACCTAGTGTTGCTGCGGAAGAACAAACCTAGTGTTGCTGCGGAAGAACAAACCTAGTGTTGCTGCGGAAGAACAAACCTAGTGTTGCTGCGGAAGAACAAACCTAGTGTTGCTGCGGAAGAACAAACCTAGTGTTGCTGCGGAAGAACAAACCTAGTGTTGCTGCGGAAGAAGAAACCTAGTGTTGCTGCGGAAGAACAAACCTAGTGTTGCTGCGGAAGAAGAAACCTAGTGTTGCTGCGGAAGAACAAACCTAGTGTTGCTGCCAAAGAACAAACCTAGTGTTGCTGCCAAAGAACAAACCTAGTGTTGCTGCCAAAGAACAAACCTAGTGTTGCTGCCAAAGAACAAACCTAGTGTTGCTGCCAAAGAACAAACCTAGTGTTGCTGCCAAAGAACAAACCTAGTGTTGCTGCCAAAGAACAAACCTAGTGTTGCTGCCAAAGAACAAACCTAGTGTTGCTGCCAAAGAACAAACCTAGTGTTGCTGCCAAAGAACAAACCTAGTGTTGCTGCGGAAGAACAAACCTAGTGTTGCTGCGGAAGAACAAACCTAGTGTTGCTGCGGAAGAACAAACCTAGTGTTGCTGCGGAAGAAGAAACCTAGTGTTGCTGCGGAAGAACAAACCTAGTGTTGCTGCGGAAGAACAAACCTAGTGTTGCTGCGGAAGAACAAACCTAGTGTTGCTGCCAAAGAACAAACCTAGTGTTGCTGCCAAAGAACAAACCTAGTGTTGCTGCCAAAGAACAAACCTAGTGTTGCTGCCAAAGAACAAACCTAGTGTTGCTGCCAAAGAACAAACCTAGTGTTGCTGCCAAAGAACAAACCTAGTGTTGCTGCCAAAGAACAAACCTAGTGTTGCTGCCAAAGAACAAACCTAGTGTTGCTGCCAAAGAACATACCTAGTGTTGCTGCCAAAGAACAAACCTAGTGTTGCTGCCAAAGAACAAACCTAGTGTTGCTGCC